CGATCATATCCGGTTCTGATCGGTCATATGCTTATTCTAATCGATCATATAGTACACCAAGTGGTTTTAATCGATTATTTCGAAGTTGTATCGATTAAAATACTGCCAGAACACTTCTCTGAACATTTTAAGTGATTTTAATCGGTTATTTCAAAACTGTATTAGTTAAAATACTGACTGAAGGTTTTCAAAACTTCCTTTAATAGAAACAATCGATTATTTTGAAGTTATATTAGTTGAAAACCTGCTATAAAAGTGTGAAGAACATTTTAGTTGATAAAGCTTATATTCTATTAGTTAAAATAGTTGATTAAGAAAGCTTTTGTCAAAATGCTTTGTTTTTAACCGTTAAAACATTTTTTGAGGCATTTGCAAAATCTTTTAAATGAAGAAACTTCATGCAGCAGAAAGATAAAAATGATTATACCTAAGCGGAGCTACAGACACACTAATCCTTCTACTCTTTTATCCAAGTGACCTTTGACTGCCACAAAGTAGCCTTTGACTCCATTCTTGACTTCATCAAATCAACAAGATCTTTGCCAAAGTAATTCAATAAGATCTTCATTACTTTCAGTTACCACATGTAATAACAATATGTAATTTTCCTATGTTCTTAATTCATTAGGGAAAACTACTCTATAGGATCTTTAGATTATTTATTTTCACAACGTAACATATATCAATACATGAATCATAGTAAGAAGACTAACCTAATCCATGAGAATCTATTCTTTAATCTTTTCGTTCTCCAATCTCCTTTTTCCAATCTATCTTTTTGTCTTTCTTTCTCTTCTCATGTTTTCTTAATGGTTTACCGTGAAAAAACCTTATGACCAGAGACATAACCCTAATCCCTTTTATTAACCAACGTCCATCAAGTTGGTTATCGTAAGTTAATATTTTATTTTATCTTTATTTTATTCTAACTTCACATAATAACCAATAGGTTCTTATATTTTATTAAATCACAATTGGGTTTATCATTATATTTCACATGAGTCATATAATGGAATGAATTAATTAAATTAATTTTAACACCATGCTCTTTAACTCTAACTCTAAAGGAGTTTACAAATCATCGTTGTCCTCATTGGTTTTAATGAAATGATCAAAATTATCGTATGAGATAATAATATTAATTTTTTAATATGATTAAGTTTAGATCTACAATTGATATTAACATGAAATAAATGAAGAAAAAAAAAGAATAAATGAGAATATTAAGACTAAAAAGGGAAATAATTAAAGAATAAAGTAGATAATTGAAAACTTACAAAATATATTTCATTCATCTTACGTATTAGAAAAGTAATAAGTAAGTGCATTCCAAAGGTTATATGCTAAAAGAGTGAGTGTAATTTTAAAGTTTGCATTAAATTTCCTTTGAAAATGAAAAAAAAAACAAAGGAAATTTCATGATCTTTTGGTTACAAAGCTCTTTATGATTGCAAGGGATACACCTGTTAGAATTATAGGCTGAGATCAAGAGGGGGTGAATTGATCTTTGAAAACTTTTTCGTACTTTATAGATACAGATTAATAATTTCAAAGATTAAGAAATCAGATTAAGAATTGTACCTAGAAAACCAGTCAGAAATGAATAATGTTCAAACAGATTTAAAGAAGGTGAAAGAAGAGAAAAACAAACACCAAGAATTATACTGGTTCACCCACACCACTGGGCTACATCCAGTTTTCAACCAAATTTCAGTTAAGTTCCACTAGATTGAATATATTTTGAATACAGAACAGAATTACAAAACACCCAACCTACACCAAAAATCAAATTTCAGTTTTTGAACCCAACCTGTAACCAAATTCCAGTTGCAGAAACAGTACCCAACCTTCCAGACACTAAGACTACACAAATTCAAAATAGAAAATAAAAATGAAGAAACTAGAACAATCAAACTCGGTTATGCAGATGCAGAAATCCAACTACAGTATGAGTTTCTTCACAAGTAAGAATACAAAAATGCCCTAAGAAAGAACTTAAAAAATTCCCACTGAAAATAGCGTGTTTCTCTCTTGAAAAGATCTCTATTGATTGCTTGAATGATTTCTAAAAGATGATTTTTATAGTTTTGAATCAAATATGTATATATAGAGACATTTTCTAACAAACTCGGTTTAATTAATCTGTTAATTCGTCTTTTAATCGATTAAAAAATCTTGATTCTAACTGTTTTAACCGATTAAAATGTTCTACAAAATTTCCCAAAAAGATTTTAGCTGATACAAATACGATTTAATCGATTAAAGCAATTATACAAAAAATCCTTTAGAAATTTTAATAAATTAATTCGTATTTTCATTGATTAAAATGCTAGCGTAAGATTTTCAAAAACTTCTTAAGTAACTTTAACTGATAAAAATGTGATTTAATCAATTAAAATATTTGAACAAAAATTCCTTAAGTGATTTTAACCGATTAATTTGAAGTTTAATCGATTAATAAACTACAAAACATTTCTTAAATTGTCTTAAGTGTTTTTAGCTGATAAAAACTTGATTTAATCGATTAAAACATTTAATCAAAAACTCTTTAAGTGATTTTAATCGATTAATTTGAGGTTTAATCAATTAAAATACTGACATAACATTTTCTAAAACTTTCTTAAGTGTTTTTAATCAATTAATTTAACGATGTATCGGTTAAAATGACGACAAGTATATGCTTTAAGTGGTTTTAATCGATTATTTCGAAAATACATCAATTAAAAATATGTCGGAAGTGTTTTTAGCTGATTTTAATCGATTAATTTGTAAATATATCGGTTAATTCAGTGACTCAAGAGCATATTAACTGATTAAAACAATTTTTAACATATTAAAATGATTATAAACATTTTTATTTCTTTCAATTAATAGAACCTCATACTCGTAGAAATGGATAGGAGATTATACCTACATAATATGGATGCAGACTCACTAATCACTACAACCATTAACCATAAATCCTTTGACTTTATCAAATTTTCAAGATCTTCAATCTTTATGAACATCAAGTTGGCACATTTGTTGTCTTCTTAATTTATCATAACCACTTTATCTACATACTTTAAAGTGGTCATAAATTATAACTTTCTCAATATTTAACTCTTGAACTTCTAGAAAAAACAATATTATTCTATCGTTTTCATCATTTACTAATTTATCATTCTTTTCTTCAATGGAATTTATTTATGTACTTTCATGATGTAGAAATGGATTATTCCTCACATTTGACCCTTCTTCTTTAAAGCTTAACATCCCTATTTATATTAGGTTTTAAACCTTATTCTTTAAACCCCCAACATTTTCCATGCCATTCAAGAAATAACTTTATGATGTGGTGGTTCGACAAGTTTCAAGGGGAATGAAAACATTTAAGAGTTGTTGATCAAACATGAAATGAGTTTGATGTTGAGAAATTGAAGATGGTGGGACTTGTGGTAGTGTGATTGATAAACTACTTCAAGCTCCTAAGGGTAGTTGAGAAGTTATTGTTATTTGTGAGTTGTAAATGAATTGGAGATAGTAATAATGCATAAAAGGGATAAAGGTTATAATTAAGTATGATTGGTGTCAACATAATTGCATTTTTTTTTTCACCTCCCTTTTACTCATTAATGACTAAAGAGATTTCTTGGCACTTGCTACTAAAGTTGTCATTAGGGAAAATTTTCACTCCTTATTCTCATTTCAACATTTTCTTCAATGACAACTAAGTATAAGAAATTTGATGATTTGTTTCTAATCATCTTGTGATAAATGGTGATAGGAGTATATCAATAAATATTATGACAACTTTTTTAATGTTTGAACATATTTTTTAAAACTTTCATCCTCTATTTTATTTATATTTTGTTCTTGAATCTAATTCTGTATCATATCCACCAGATGACCCCTTAGAGTAAAAAAGAATAAAAAAAATGAATATGAACACATGATTACTTTAATAAAAAAGATAGATTTGATGGACACTTATTTTAACGAAATATTTCTAATTATCAATATTGACCTAATAATATGTTACATTTTTTTTTTTTACCATAATATTTTCGATACCCTAAAATATCAAATAAATAAGACATAAGATATGTTTTTCAAATTTATATTTCACTTATACCAAGCTTACACCATAGGTATAACACTTGGTAGAACAATTTGATAAATTATTTTACTCTTAAACTCTTTAATCTTTACATGTCCTCGAGTTTTGGGTAGTATATCAATCCAATTTAGTGTCATATCTAATAAATCATGACCTTTTTATAAATTACTTAATGAACTTAAAATAATTAGATGAAATTATCTAAATATATTAGACAAAGAAGCCTTTATTAAGTAAAAGTCTATTTAAAACACTAAATATTAATATATGCATTATTCATTACTTGTATAATTTATTATTTATATGATTTAAATATCAGAGTTTATAATATCTTAAAAAAGAAAATCAAAATATAAATTAAAATAAAAAGTTCTCTCACAAATATTTTATAGAAAGAAAGAAAAATTTTGAATGTAGAAATATATATATATATATATATATATATATATATATATTATTAAAAATAATATTAAATGTAATAAAATAAAATATTTAAAAAAGATTAAATAATAAAATTGATTTATTAACTGATAAACATTATTTTATGATATATAATTAATTATTAGCAGAAAGATAGTAGAGTAGAGTTCAGACAGTTGAGAAAAGTTGATAAAACAAATTAGAATGAAAATGTTAGTTTAACTAAACTTTGCTCACACAGGGAATTATCAAAGAAAAAGTGAAAGATAGAAAGAAACAATAAACGTTACTTTGGTCAGTGTAATGTCCCACCACCGGTAAATTCATCGGGGCCCACAACCGATTATTCCCGTTCCCATTATTCTTCTATAAATACCACCACCACCCTCCTTTCATTCCTGCCAAACCGCCCTACATCATCCCTCGGAAGAACAAAACAAGTTCTTCTTCACATTTATCGTTTTCCCTTTTCACATTCAGCATGGTTCGCCGAACACTATCACTGTTCTCATTCTTTCTAACATTTTATCTAACAGTATCAGGTAATGTCCACATCCATATCATAAACTTGTGATCATGATTCATGCCACGGTTAAATGCGTTAGTATTACAGTTTTGATTAATTTGTAACATTTTGATTATTACAGGGGTGATTTCAACCACATTCACTCTTGTTAACAAATGTGACTACACGGTGTGGCCGGGGATTCTCTCAAACGCGGGTGTTCCTCCTCTTTCAACCACCGGCTTCGTTCTACAAACAGGCGCCTCCACCACAATCGCTCCACCCGCGTCTTGGGGAGGCCGTTTCTGGGGCCGAACGCTCTGCTCCGAAGACGCCACCGGCAAGTTCTCCTGCGTCACCGGCGACTGCGGTTCCGGAAAGCTCGAATGCGCCGGGAACGGCGCCACGCCGCCGGCGACTCTAGCGGAGTTCACCCTCAACGGCGCAGGAGGCCTTGATTTCTTCGACGTAAGCCTTGTGGACGGCTACAACGTGCCGATGCTGGTGGTGCCGCAGGGAGGCTCCGGCGAGAAGTGCACCGCCACGGGCTGCGTCGGGGACCTCAACAGCGCGTGTCCATCGGAGCTGAAAGTTATGAGCGCGGACGGGAGAGAGAACGTCGCCTGCAAGAGCGCGTGCGAAGCATTCAACTCGCCGCAATATTGCTGCAGCGGCGCGTACGGCACTCCCGACACGTGCAAGCCATCGTCTTACTCTGAGATATTCAAGAACGCATGTCCACGCGCTTATAGCTACGCGTACGACGACAAAACCAGCACCTTCACTTGCGCCTCCGCCGATTACACCATCACCTTTTGCCCTCCCCTACCACCAGGTTTGTTTCCTTCTATCCAATTCAACAACGGTTAAATTTATCATTAAAATATTTTAATATATATATATATATATATATATATATATATATATATATATATATATATATATATATAAAACTACAATATAATTATTTTTTTAATTTTTGTAAAACAGGTGTTAACAAATAACCCTTCATTTTACATTTTGTATAAGTGACAGTGACCAGAGTCAATATTAATAACTGCTTGCTTAAGAATATGAACGTTGGGTAGGACTGAGGTGACAGTTTAACTTTGTCCTATTAGGGGAAAATTATTCATTAAAAAAATATTTTAAAAAATAATTTTATGTATATTTCAATTACCAAAATTAATTAAATTACATGAAAAGAAAGATATTAATTTAGTTAGTTTTCAGTCTAAGCAAAGAAAGTAATTGAGTGATTATTTTTGGTATGTATGTATCAAGAAGAGAACTAAACAACACCTAAATTGATTGCACGCTTAAAAAAAAATACTGATTGTTGGTTTTCACTTTCCAGCAAAGATGATTCACGTTGAATTTTCAACTTTAAATAGCAGCATTGGGTGCGAAGTCAAAGTTAGCTTTTTGTATTAGGTAGAAAATGCATGTCTGAACCAAACCATGTTTTTGCATCTGCAAGCAATCTACCAAGTTGAACAGATCCATTCCTCCTTTGCATCGGTGAATCAAATAGTTTGTCCCCACGCTCCAACAATTCCTAACGTGATTGGTCTCCTTAGACCGAGACCAGGGACCATATCTTGAACCAAACAGCACAAAAAAATCTCTACAGCAATATTTGAGAATGATATATTGTTTTCAATTATGCACATGGGAAGTAGGGGCTGGCACACATGCCAATGGTTATCGTTGCACACAATTATTTGTGTGTTAACAATTATTAAAGTAATTGGTTCTGCGCAATTCATGACCGTTACACGAATCACATTATGACACGTTCTCAGATGATAATTATTGTTCTTTTACCATTTTCAGTCAGAAGGCATCGCAGGGACAACAAGATGGTTTTTCTCCCACCACGCCACTGCTTAACAACGGCACCATGGTGTACCAAGGTGGTTTCGATCAGAGTGCAATCTCGTGGGCCACATCCAGCCACGTGTTCCAATCGCAAGCCGTTGCCGGCATAGTCAGTGTCGCGTTGGCAATGTGGCACTTGTGCCACCTCTTCTAACTACTATTCTCTCCATCGGCATTATTTCTCACACAGTTTGGCCCATGGGCTTGCACGAGTCCACATTCATGTCCCAAACAGGATGATGGTGGTGGGGCCTAAGCTTGACTTATAGTTATTCTCTTGCACACCATGACCATGCTGACGGGGATGTGACTCATCAGAGGCCCAGAGCATCTAAAAAGTTAAGGTGCCACATAGTGCAATAGGGCATAGTATAAGGGGATTTTGAGCTAATTATTTTATTTTATTCCCGTTATTAAATTATTTATCTAGTTTAGATTATAAGTAGGAATACTATTGTACAATTCTTTATTGGTTGGGGATGTAATATTTGTCTGCAATAAAGATATGGATACTTCTACAACATTGTCAACGTGTTAATAAATAATGAAAAATATAATAAGGTAAATAAATATAAAAATATAAGATAATATAAAACTGTTTTTATTTAATAATATATTTAATGATTTGTTGCGAGATACTAATAAATGATGTTACAGGAACATAGCATAAATAATGTTATTGGAATGTAAAATGAAGGCTAAACTAGGAAGAGGACCATCAATTTGCTATTTTTTTGTAGCCCACACAAAAATTAATGATACATGAACCATCGTGGCTATTGCAATAATTAACATCCAAATTATTTATGCAACATTTTTTTCTTTTATTTTAAAATAGTTTTTATTCCAAAAAGTTAAATTTTTTACATTTGGTTTTTAATAAATTTTATCTATTTTATTCTTAAGTTTTAATTAATATTTGATATATAGACGAGTGTATTATTGTTATATAAAAAAATTGAAATTAAAAAATAAATCTTGATATATTTCAAGGATCACTTAAAATAATAGAAATAAAAATATAAAATACAAAATCTATAAATATTTCAAATACTGAAAAGTTTTGGCTTTGAAAATATATTTTAACTTTTAGGTAGATGTAATTAACGTTATCTTTTTAAAATATCATTTTAATTCTTTAACTTGAGGAACTAAAAATATTTTTTAAAATATTAAATTTCAGAGACTAAATTCATATTTATTTTAATTTGAAAACATTATATTAAAATTTAAGGAACCAAAATCGATTTTATTTCAAACTTTAGGAATTAAAACTATAATTAAGTACTTCTAATCTTTTTAAGTACTTCTTAAGTACATTTTTATTTTAATATTACCCCAACATCCTATTGTATAGTAATTTTTTCACAAATTTTTGGTCAATGAATAATTAATTCTATAAATTAATAATTTATGAGGATGGGAAAAAAATTCACAAATTAATAAGATAACTACATGATTAAAATGATCTGTTCACATATTAATTAATTAAGCAAGAAATATTTAAGTGGAAAAGAGTGAAACGATGAGTTTGAGTAAATTCAAATGCAAATTTAAAAAGAAAACGTTAAAAATACATAAATAGAGCAAGGAATCAAAGATAATATATACACATTTATGGTTGAATATTTACGTATACAAAATCTCTATTCGTGCATGCATGGTTTTTTAATTCAATGAAACACGATTATTTCATTTCAGCCGCCAGCAGAATATGTAAAGGTTTTCAAGCATAGTCAAACCCTGGTTAACATTTTATTACTCATGTCTAATGAGAAACAAATTCATTGAATAGTATAAAAAATTAATCGTCAATAATAATAATAATAATAATAATAATAATAATAGTAGTGAATAATTATTGTTTAATAGTAGTGAATTTTGATTTTGAGGCACCCTCCTTAATGTTTGTGGTTGAGTCATATAATGGGGGAGCAAATAATATAATTGATGGTGTTGGTTTAATGGATAAGACGATGATCCTTGACTTTTGGCGTGCTCAATTATGAAGAGTGGTTGAAGTTTAGATATCACTACCCCAAATACTTGGCCTATTCACATCTACGTTCATTCAATTCTTGCTTCTACAATTATCAAATATCAAAATTTATTTCCAGTTGTATCAAAATCAATAAAAGTTACATAATCAAGTTATAATAAAATAATACTTTTGAATTATTATTATACTATTAAATAAAATATTATAATGAATATTTGACCTAATAATTATTATCCATTAATTATAATAAAATTTATTTAGGACATCTCCAAACCAATTGAGTCGTTTTTTATCTTAAAAAATATGAACAAAATTATGATGTCGTATTATTTTTAAACAAGTCAATGGTCCTCTTTTATATTTTCTTTCCTCATTTAATTTAATTTTTATAAGTGGTTTGATGAAATAATTATAAAATAATTTAAGTAATTATCATATTTTTTTAATAAAAAATTATTTCAAATAATTAATATTTTATTTAAGTATTTTAATAAATAATTCTATTTTGGTGATGCTCTTGCTACTAAAAGAATTATTTTATCATGATTACACACGCTTATTAAAATTAGTCCCAAATTTAAGAATCAACACCACTTGTTGCTATATATAATTAAACTATAGCTGGCAGGTTTCATCACGAATTAGTGGTTTGCGTGATTGAGATAATTCATGACACCATTTCAATGTGTGCACGCTTCAGAATAAGACTAAATTAAAAAATAATAATAATAATAAAGTTGGGTCTGTCCCATTGGTTTTTTCTTAATTGGTCGATTGGGCTGGGCCCATTCCAGTCCCTTTCCTCTTGTTTAATCATGGGCCTAGGTAGTGGGGAATCATGATCTGTATAAATCTACGACTTATATAGAGTGTGAGACAGTGTCTCAGTAGAGAGAAAAAAAGGCGAAGAAGAAGGTTATGTATTGATAGGTTAACATTCTTATTCAATTCTACATCATAATATATGATATGTTTGTTATTTCATTATGTTAAAACTCATACTAACAATTGTTTCTAATTGGATAAGTATATAGAACTCTTAAAAATATTTTTTTATTCTTTAGTTTTTAAAAATTAAAAATAGATAAAAATGGTTTTTTATTATTTTTAGTTTTATGCTTGTATTTAGGGTATATACATTTTTATCAACTTTTGTATCATTTAATTAATCTTATTTGTAATAAATTTGTAAAAGTTATTTTTCAAATTTTTGTTACTTTTCGTATTGTATTATGTTCAAAAATAATTTTAAAATAGTTATGAATTTTTTTACTTATTTCAAAATAGTTTTTTTTAATAATTATTAAAATTATTTTTAAAAAATAAAAATAAAATGAAGTATTTTATTCTCATTTCAACGTTGAATATTTAGTACCTCAAAGATTTAGCTTTAGGTCATAGGGTTCAAACAACCACATTTAAGTTTTAATCATGTGACAGAACTAAATATTAATGATTTTTTTAAAAAAAAAATTTGAGTTAGTTTAATAAATATGATATTATCTTAATAAATTTTTAATATTTTTATACTTAAAAAAAATCACGCGATCATTTATTTATTATTTTTGAATTAGTTTTATAACCAAAAATATCAATTCAAATATATTTTAAATTTTCTACTTGAAAAATATAAAAAGTTTTATATAGAATTTAGGGTAGGTAAGCATTGAACAATGAACATGGCATCCATGTTACGTTCGTTGCACCGAATTTTGAATAGAAAAAGGTTTTGACACTTGAACTTTGATTAATTGCGTGTTATGACATCAATTTATGGAAGCCATTATGTAATGTCTTTTACAATTTTCAAACTTCTGAACCTAACTCGTGTTGCGGTCACACTTACTCATGTCAAAATAGGCTTGTGCTAATCACATTCATTCGTAATAGTTAGACAACAATGAGTAAACAATGTCTAACAAGATAGACAACACAAGTTTTGTTTTTAATGAAGCATATAAACGGGGATGTTTCGAGGTTCGAATATCGATGTGTTCTGTCTCTATTATTTCTTACTGGTTCTCAAGTTGTTTAATGTGAACTCTTGGGAGGGAAATTTGGTTTTGAAGAGGAGATGGAAGGTGTCAATGGATTATACGAGTGCCTTGTAGTTTTGAAGTTGTAATGTGCATACCCATTAACTATGACTCATTGATTCCAAGGCCCATACAAAATCTCAAATAAAAATTTTGTAAGACGAAAAAATCGGGGCACTCCATTTCGTTTTGCTTTAGCACTATAGTCATAACAAATTGGCCCGTTGCGCCTTAGCAACATAATTTTTTATTTTTTTTAAATTAATTTTTTAATAAATTTAATAATAAGATTATTTTTTAATAATTTAATATATATATATATATATATATATATATTAAGTTAATAATATAAATCAAATTAACATAAAATTTATATAATAATAAATAATAACAAATACATGTTAAAACTTGTTTTTTATTAGAAAATTTAAATACCTAAAATAGAAATTACTTTATATTTTTTGATATGATAAAACTTTAAGTTGTTCTTCCCTTTAAGTTTTTCTCATGCCTTCAATTCAAGTTATGAGGGTAGGAATAATCAATGCTTAGGATGTGCAAGAAGAGATGATAAATAAGAAGGAAGGAGAGAGAAGAGCTTCTACTTGAATAAGGAGAGTGTTTTTTATAGTGAGTGAAATTTTATGAATTTTCTTTTCACAAAATTTTATCTTATATGTTGTCTTTGTGATTGACTGAATTACAATAAAAAAATTTTATTAATTAAACGAGTCACGGTCGGCTCGCCCGTACTTATCCCACGGGTTGGCCCAACGAGTTAGCGGACCGGCTGTCGAACCTAACTCATTTTGTCATCCTATAATTTTGTAACTAGTTTTAAATAACACTTATAGAAAGTACTAAATATTTTTATATCCTTTTTCTCTTTAATCTTAATTAATAAATGTTAAAATAAAAATTTTAGAATTTTGATTAAGAAATTAAAATATAATATTTAATATTATTAATATATTCAACCAAAGAAGTTTAACTCTATCAAGAGTGAACCCTCATATTATCTTAATCTTGAATGATTTATTTACTATAAACAATTTCTTTTGAGAACAACAACAACGGATAACCAATTTAATTTAAAATCAATACATGCACACAAAACAA